GGTACTGGGAAGGACAGAAACCCCAACAAGCCAGCCCTCATACTACAGTTACGCATGTCTATAATGAAAATGAACAAGCTAAGCAAAGAAAAATACATAATGTACAGTTTGGGGAAAAAAAGGGGACCAGGAAGTGTAATGGCACTAAGTCCAGTGTTAAGGGAGACAAAAAGCTGAAAGAAAAGCCTGATGCTAAATAGAATAGAGAGAGTGGGGACCTCAGGGCAAGATCCCACCCAGCTAAGCTTCCAACTTGTGAAAAGGAATTAAAGAAAATTTTTAAGCAGTGAAGGAAACCACAGAAAACAGAAAGCTCATGCAGATGTAATTGAACGAGATGTTCCAGCCCCAGCAAGCATCAGAACTTGACAGCTTCAGTCATATGGTTTTGGCTTAAGAGCCAAGGATACAAAAAAGGGGTTGTGAAATTTCTCTTCACTGCTAAGGAAAGCCACGGAGGCCAAACACGTTTAGGGGTGCCCCTGAATGGAGGCCCAGAGAGGCCATTTCATGAAGTGGTGAAAGTGAAGCCTTGATTGTATTGGAGATCCTAAGATATTGGAGATATGGAAAACCTGCCAAGGAGGATTGCTAACAGTGAGTGGAGCCAATCCAAGAGAGAGAAGTGTCTTACAGTCAGCAAAGCTGAAAGGAGTTGGAGATCAGAGGGCATTTTGACATCAGACATGGAGATGCAGTTTGGAGTTTGCCCAGCTTGTTTTTGGTCTTGCTTTAATTCAGTATTTCCTCATTGCATTCCCTTTCTCCCTTTTGGAATGTAAAATATATTCTGTGCCATTGTATGTTGGAAGCATGCGATCTGCTTTTTTATTTTTGCTACAGTTAGGAGATTGCCAGGAGTCTCAGAAGTGATTTTCGACCTAGGACTTTTCAACAGTGTTGTGACTATTAGACTATGGAGATGTTCAAAGTTGGACTGAATACAATTTTGAATTATCTCATGGCTACAAGCCTATGGTAGTCAGGGAGTAGAATGTGGTGGTTTGAATAGGAATGGCCCCCACAGGCTTATATATTTGAATGCTTGGTCGGCAGGGAGTAGTACTACTAGAAAGGATTAAGAGGTATGGCCCCATTGAAGGAAGTATGTCATTAGAGGTAGGTTTTGGGGTTTCAGAAGCCCAAGTAAGTCCCTGTATCTCTCTCCCTCTTGCCTACAGATCCAGATAAAGAAATCTCAGCTATTTTTCCAGCACCATGTCTGCCTGCATGCTGCCATGCTTCCCACCATCTTAATAATGGACTAAAGTTTTGAAACTTTAAGCAAGCCCCAATTAAATGCTTTTATATGAGCTGTTGTAGTCATGGTGTTTCTTCACAGCAACAGCACATTGACTAAGACAAACATGATCTATCTTATAGCTCATGCTAGTACCAGGTTTATCTCAGTATAGAATGGTTGATAAAGACATTTCTGATCACAGGGTAATAATGACATGATAAACTGCTCTCTTTAAGCTAAAGTCTGTGTTAAGTCTGAATCTGGGCAAGAATAAAATTTGCTATGTCATGGTCCATTATTTCCTTACCTGGCAGTGTTGTACTTCATCAGCCAGGACATGGATAACTGATTGTGGCCCACCTTTCACACCAAACAAGTCTAATTCATCTAGTGCTTCCAGGGCTGCCTGTAAGAAACAATGGAAGTAAAAACAACTTCAGTGGCAGAGCACATATTTAGTATGTGTAATGCCCAGGGTTCAAACCCCAGAACCAAAAGAAAAGAAAAATCAAGATAATACATATATTTTCTTCTTAGTATCTTAGCAATGTTACATGATGTTCCTTTTGATTATATTTAATGGAACAGAAAATAAAATAGCATTCTTTATTCCTAGGAGCTTATGAATTTTACTTTGTTTCACATACTGTCCAAGGGAAAATTAAAATTGAGTTTGTTGTATTACTATCCAGTCAAGCAGTGTGCTTTAAAAGAGTAATTTGCACATAGTCTATGGATTTATAGGGGATCATTATTTCAGCAGGGAAGCTCTAACTAAGATACTAGCACAAAGAAATGCTAAACAGCCAAGCAGTCATGGCACATGCCTTTAGTTCCAGTACTTGAGAAGCAGAGGCAAGCTGATCTCTGTGAGTTCAAGGCCAGCCTGGTCTATAGAGTGAGTTCCAAAAAGTCAGGACTGTTACACAGAGAAACTGTCTCAAAAAGAAAAACAAAAAGAAAAACAAACCAAAAAAACAACAAAAAATGTTAAAACACTGACACAGTCAGACCCTGTCAAAAACATAGAGAAACAAATGAATACATGTTAGAAGTTGTGTGGCTGCAAGACAATACATGAACTATTAGGCACTGACTCATAGCTGAGTTTCCATAGAGAGGCAAATGTCCTAAAAAGATCCTATATTTAACTTTTAAACAAATGCTATTAGTTGGTAATGTAAAGGAGGAGTTTTCATGTTTTTAAAAATATACACTGTGTTTTCATAGATTGTAGTGATTCTCCAGAGTAACAGATCTGCAAAGTTATTCCTCATGTCTACCTAAATCTTTGAATCCCTTGATCATTTAAATTCTTCCCATTCCCTTTATCCTAGTCACCATCACTAGACTCTACTTTGAGAGGTTGATTTTTTTTAAGTTTTAAATATAAGTAAAATCATGCTCTAAGAAAATTGCCAAGTGTGGGGGCATGTGCATATCTGAGACAGAAGGACTGGAAATTTGAGTCTGTCCTGAACTATATTGTGAGATTCTGTCTCATGATGTAGGATTCCCCTCTATATGCTATGAATATGTTTTATTACCACTGGTTAATAAAGAAGCTGCTTTGGCCTATGGCAGGGCAGAATAGAGCTAGGCATGAAAACTAAACTGAATGCAGGGAGAAAGAAGGCAGAGTCAGGCAGACACCATGTAGCTGCTGAAGGAGAAAGATGTTGGAACCTTACTGGTAAGCCACAGCCTCATGGCAACACACAGATTAACAGAAATTGGTCAATTTAAGATATAAAAGCTAGCTAGGAATACACCTGAACCATTGACCAAACAGTGTTGTAATTAATATAGTTTCTGTGTGATTATTTGGTCTGGGTGGCTGGAAAACAAAAGCGGTCTCTGATTATAGTCTCAAGATAATTTTTAGAAATTATTAATTTCTTGCTTTTCTATATGTGTTTTCTGATGACAAAAGTAAAACATACTTTAATTTCTGAAAGAATATTTATTTTATGTACACTGGTGGGACATGCTCATGGAATTCCTAATTCTACTATGTGTGTTCTGGGAACTGAACTTAAATCACCAGGATTGGTGGCAAGTACCTCTACCTGCTAAGCCAACTCATCAGCCTATTAATATTTCCTTTAATAATACTATATGAGCATATATGTGTGTATGATGTGTATGTGTGAGTTCAGGTTTGTGTGTGTCATGGTGCATGTGTGAAGGACAGAAAATGACTTGTAGAATGAGCTGTCTTTACTTTTACATGGGTTCTGGCATCAAACTCAGGTGGGTTAAGCTTGTGTATAGCAAGAACTTTTACCCATGGAGCTATCCATTAGCCTACTGTTAATATTATTGATGTTTTCTATTAGTTTTCACTCTTGGTATCTTGCTTTTAAAATGTTTTTTTCTTGCTTGAATTTTTTTTAACTTTTTTGATATTTTTGAGACATAGTCTCATGTAGCCAAGGCTTGTCTCAGATACACATAAAGCCCAGGCTGACCTTGAACCCTGATTCACTCTCCTGCCTCTGCATTCAAAGATATAGGATTATTAGCATGTACCACTGATCTTAGCTGTATCTTTTTATAATTAATATAGAATGTAAGTTTTTCTTTGTTATAGAAACTATTTTGGTATAATATTGTCTCATATGACTGTAATAAAATAAATTTGGTTATTTACTAATTGCTGTAAATCTAGGCTGTCTTCTATTTTGTTATTGTAGAAATAGCACTTTGATAAATATCTCTTGCCAAATTGCAAATATTTTGAGGTCATGGTTGGTATTTTTAACAATATCTAGCACACAGAATAGCAGGCTTACTTTTCAGCTAACAAATAATTATTTGTTTTCATTTTGAAATATTTAAGCATTAATTTCTTGAAGTAGAATCACTATGTCAAAGGGTATGGAAAGTTTTGAGATGCAGTGCTAAATATAAATACATATATACATACATACATACATACATACATATATATATAAATAATTCACCAATATAAATTATACTAGCAGTACATGACAGTACTCTTCTTAATACAAAATATCTTAATTTTTCTACTTTGATTTTAAAAGTATGTTTCTGCATTCACTCGCTTTAAACTTCCAATAAGGTTAGAGATATTATCTCAAGTATTTATGGGTTTGCTGTCTCATAATGTTTGCTGTTAAATTATTTATATAATTGTATCTGTTTGCCTTGTATTTCTAATTTATTTGTTCTTTTTTAATTGAGATATATTCCAGACCACATTTTCTCATTATACTTGTGTCAAACGTCTATCATGACCCATTTGTTCTCTTTATTCCATGTAATAGTTTTTGCTTTGAATTATCTTTCATTTCTTTTGGTTTTCAGACTTTACTTTGCCTAACTTAGTTTTAAACTTTAAGTATCATTATGAAATAACACAGCATATATTGTATTAACTTCTTTCTTTTTAAAAATCAATCCGCATCTTTCCTAAACATTTAGTAGGAGTGATTGAGCAATGCACATTTACCATAATAATGTCTGAACTTACTCCTGTTGTCCTATTTTATAAATTATTACTGTTTCTAAAGAAAATAAGAGCTAGTAGAATGAAAAGACATAGCCAAGTGGAAAGGTGATAGTGATATGGGAGACAGAGGAGAGTAAAAGGGGATGGAGGATTCAGAGTTTGCTATCTGATACCAAGTTTGGTGGACTGGACTATGCAGGGACAAAGAGCTTCTCTTAGTTTATTCAATGGCAAAGATAGTGAATATAGTTTTAAATTTGTTGTCCTTGTAGAATATATAAACAGGACATGCTACAAAAGCCATATGGTATCAAATCTGGAACTCACAAAAAGCTTTTGATACTATTTATTCATAGTTTCATGGAGGAATTTGAATTTTGTCTGTGGTTTAAAGAACAGTGTGATAGGTCTGCATGAACACTAAAGTTTTATCTGTGACAAAGGTAAAACAGACTCCACTGATTAAACTTGGTAAAAATAAGAAATATAATGTACCTTGGCCATTCCAACTGAACTCGCATTTAATTCCGAGATGCCTTGGTTGGTCTTGTCTCCACGTTCCCATATCCCAAAGTCCTGGCATAAAATAATCAAGATATAACTTGAAAATCATAACCACTAAACATTTACTAGATATGTAATCCTTAAATAAAAAACCATCAATAGGAGCAAATTTTACACACACACACACACACACACACACACACCTCCACATTGGCTATTAAGGAACTCACAGTGACTTAAATTGGGGCCTCTGAGAAGTTGGGTGTTGACTGGGGTTTCTGTCCCACCAGGTCCAACATTCGTTTAGGCCCAAATAAATACACAGAGGTCTACATTAATTATAAACTGGTTGGCCTAGTAGCTCAGACTTCTTATTAACTGTTATAACTTATATTAGCCCATTATTCTTGTCTGTGTGAGCGACATGGCTTAATACCTTTTTTTGGTGAGGCACTCACATCTTGTTTACTGTGTCTGGTTTCCTCTGTGTCTTGGTGACAATTGCAGATTGAAACTTCCCTCTTCCCAGAATTCTCGTTGCCCTGCCTCTACTTCCTGCCTGGTTGCCCTGCCAATACTTCCTGCCTGGCTACTGTCCAATCAGCATTTATTTAAAATACAAGTGACAGGGTACAGACCATTGTCCCACAGCAGTTGGGGGTCTCTTCAATACTTAGTCAGAAAGTCTGAGAAACAGAACTCAAATAATCTAGAAACACTTTTCAAGTTTTCCCCAAAGGAGAGTCCCATAAACTCTAGCACATGGAAGCTAAACAGTAGCTGGTATTTTATGTCAAATACTCACTCCAATCTTACTCTCTTGGTACTAAAAGAATATACAATAAATGCATAGTATTCCTTAATCCTTACATTTTACAGATGATGAAACTGAATTATAAAAAGATGATAAGTAACTTACCCAAAGTACTACAGTTGATAAGTGACAAAACCAAGAGCTGATTCCAAGGAATTTCACTCCAAAACCTACTCTTAGACATAACTGTACACATCCCATTGGTAATTTTAAAAATATTAAAAATTAATTTTAAAATATTTTATTTTTGAAATAACCTCAGAATTAGATAGAAATTGCAAAAAAATAGTACAGAGTCCCCTAATACCATTCATTTAGTTTTGCCTAATGTTACCATTTGAACATAACCACAGTACAACTGTTAAAGTTAAGAACTCAATCAACTAAATGAGTTAACTATGGACTTCACACGCCTGTATCTCTCAGGAGTTGGGATCACAAGCACATACAACCATGTCTGACTTCTAGTAACTGCCTTTTATACTTTCCAAGATTCTGTCATTTCTGCCATGCCTCCTTAATGGCTTCCAATCAGTAGTGGTTTCTTAAATCTTTTCCCTTTTGACCTTTACATTAAGTAAAAAGTGGTAAAAGTCATGTAAAGCATATAGTTAGGTTAGTGCTGGCTCTTTTCATTTTACTTTTCCTTTTTAATTAATAAATACTTTCTGAAACAGTTTAAGACTATACAACTATCACCAGGTGGGATTGTTAATGGTTGCAATCCTAAAATGAGACCCTGTCTCAGAAAAACAAGTTAAAGATCATGCAAATAGCCTGCTTCTCCTTAAATGACCACTGACTTCTTCAGCATCACCCAATTGCTTATAGAAATGATGCCGTGCTGTTCTGATGATAACTTTGGTTTATTTTCATTATTACTTTTATGGCCATTAATTGTAATCCTTCCCTAAAGAAGGCAGTTCATTATTCCTTGCTTTTTATCATTTGTTTATTTACTAGTGTGTGTGCACATGTGTGTGCATTCATTTTACAGCACATGTGTGGCAGTCAGAGAACAACTCTCTGGAATTGGTTTTCTTCTTCTACCTTTAGATGTGTTCAAGGGATTGAACACAAGTTATCAGGCTTATATAGCAGGCATTTTGTCATCTTCCCAGCCCTTTATTCAGTTATTAATATTAGTAGATCTTTATGGATATTTAGGCTTTTGCTGGTTTATAATGGAATACTATCACTATTTTGTTGCTTAAATTTTTAATTGTTCAGATAGGTTCCTAGGCCTTTTATTTATATTTGCCTTGTACACTTCTGACATTCCTTATTCCTCACTGAGCACTTCTGTAGTGTTTGGCTTCAATCTCATCGTCAAAAATACATACACTCTTAATCCCAGCACTCAGGAGGCAAAGGCAAGCAGACCTCTCAGTCTGATGTCAGCCTAATCTATAAAATGAGTTACAGGACAGTCAGGGCTACATAGTGAGACCCTGTTTCAAAAAAGTAAAGAAAATGTATTAAATAAATCAAGCCAAAAAAAGTGCAAAGTTTAGAGAAAGAGATGATCATGTAGATACAGGAGGCATTTAGAGTGCCAAACAGACAAGACTGGAAAAGAAAACCTTCTACATTATATTATAGTTAAAATATTAAGAATACAGAACTAAGAAAGAATACTGAAAGCTATAAGAGTAAAGTACCAAAGCACATATAAAGACAAACCCATTAGAGTAATAGATATTACGACAGAAATTGCAAAAGTCACAATGGCATGGAATGAAACATTTCAAGTTCTTAAAAGACAATAATCACTAATCTGTATTATATCCAGCACAAGTTAAACTTACAGGATAAAGAAAAACTTTTCATGATAAAGACAAAGTAATTTACAACTGCTAAGACAGCATTACAGAAGTCTGAAGGAATCCCATACACTGAAGAAAAAGATTACAACCATGAGAAAACAGGAAAGATTATAAACTAGAAGAGTGAATAAGCAAATAAGAATTAGGAAAATACAAAAGACAGGAATTAATACACATCTTTCTGATGTGGGATTCCCCTCTGTATGCAGGAAATATGTTTTATTACCATTAGTTAATAAAGAAGCTGCTTTGGCCTATGGCAGAGCAGAATAAAGCCAGGCAGGAAATCCAAACAGAGATATATAGAGAAAGTAGGTGGAGTCAAGGAGATGCCATGTAGCTGCTGAAGGAGACAGACACTGGAAACTTACCAGTAGGCCACAGCCTTGTAGTGATATATTGATTAATAGAAATGGGTTAATTTAAGATGTAAGAGTTAGTTAATAAGAAGCCTGAGCTAATAGGCTAAGCAGTACTGTAATTAATATAGTTTCTGTGTGATTATTTGGGTCTGGGCAGCCAGAATAAACAAGCAGTCTCCACTTACAAATGGTGCCAATGTGGGGCAAAAAGTTCCACATAAAACCTAAGAAAGTTTTAAAAAGGCTTCTAGATCCACAAAAACAGGAGTCAATTGGAGCTTTGTGGTAGCTGTATTTTTTTCAGATAGGCTGGCTACAAGCATAGGTGTGACTCCTTTAAGAAAAGGCTTACTGACACATTAGCAGCAAAAACTGCTTGGTTTTTGTTGGCAGCACATGGAGCACATGGCTCTGGCTCTTTTGAGAGTTCCTGCTATGGAGAATTTAAATGGGGTTTGTAAGCAGTGTGTTATAAATTGCTTAAAGACCTGTTGTCTCCCTGGAGCTAAGGCAGTGAGCATGGTTAGCAGAGTAGGCAGTGAACATACTTCCACCATGTTGGATGGGGTGGAGCTAATAGACAGAGCCATGGAGTTGGTCTTAGCCATGCCCGCTTAGTATTTAAAAAAAAAAGTGCTCCTTGTCAGAAAAGGATTTCAGATACACAATAGGACAGACCTCCAAATGAGACACAGTGTGTTTTCAAAAATGTACATAGGCTTGAGAGAGAGGAGAAAGAGTATGGACAGTTATAAAACAGTAAAAGTAATATGAGTATAGACATCCATAGATTAAAAGATTAACAATTAAAAGTAATAGAGTAAAAAAAAGTCATGTAAAAATGGAAAATACACAAAGAGTCTGGGTTATGTATATTATTGTGCTTTCTTTGATTTTCTGACTGTGAAGGAGCTAAGTACAGAGAGCGATTTCATTGTATGGGCTGCTAAGCTAAACTAATATATATTTTAAAGGTATCTTGACTTTAAAATTTGAGTCTAAGGATATGTTACTGTGGAAAACAGTTTCTACTTTTGTTTTGACAGAAGATGAGAACCTGTGGATTCCTTCTGGGCTATTGTGGTTTGATGGAACATGATCCCCCCAAAAGGTCTTCAAGAATCCTAAAAATACTTCACCCAACAAACAGCAGGAAGCAGTTTGGAGAAAACAATGCCCAAATTCCTAAAATGATTGCTTATAAATGTGTGTTGTAATTTAAAGGGGGTTGATTATAAGTGGTTAAATGGTCATAGTTAATCTCTTTCTAACAAGGCAGGGGAGATATGATATAAAGATGAATACTTTGCATTAGTACAAATTTAAGGTCAATTTTTCATGCTATGTATATGTATATCTGTTCTTGTTTAAGGTATTGTGTTTGTACAGCTCTTTTTAAATTATAATGTATAAATAAGAAATAAAGTTAACAGGCATCTATAATATACAAATTTTTAGTCATGTTAGATTTTTTAGATACACAGAGATATATTTCAGTTAGATAATCTTCAATACTTCAAAGACCTACAGAATATGGCATTTAAAATGTTTTAAGAAATTAGACTTTTCTCAACAGTGAGACATGTCTGCTTCTGGCAGCACCATTTTCTTCAGAGAGGTTGATGAACATTGAAGAAACTCATGGGATTTGCCTTCAATGTGACAAGGCTAGCCATTTGGGCAAGAAACAAGTTCTCAAGCCTGAACTGCTTGAGAGTCTGCTGTATAAACTAGACATGTAGGACCCACAGAAAAGTGATTGCTGAACCGGCCTAAAAAAGGTGAGACAGTCCTTCAGGGCTCCTGCTTCATGAAAGAATCTGCCAGACATTCTGCAGAACACAGAAGAAAGTGACTGACAAACTGCCAATATAGGCGAAATAATCTTTCAAATTTCTTGCTTTATGGAAAAATCTGCCACATACTATGAGCCTGTAGGCTGAAGATGGATGCCCTAACATTACAAAAGAACTTTGGGCGACTGTCCAGGCAGCAAGATATCTCTGTCATTTCTAGAACTTTGGAAATTGCTACAGTATACTTCCTGTATACTTAGATATTACATTGTGCTTGGGTCTTTGATGGAGTTGAAGATAGATATAGTTTTCCTTAGTTATAATAAAAGAAAAATTAGATATGAAACTTTAGACTCACAAAGAAATATTGTAACTATAATTATTTCTTGATACCTGTTTTGTTTTATGTAATTTTACTATGTTAAAGTTAAAATATTCCTTTTTATTTAGGCAGAAAAGGGGAGATGATGTGGGATTCCCCTCTGTATGCTGGGAATATGTTTTATTACCATTGGTTAATAAATAATCTGCTCTGGCCTATGGCAGAGCAGAATAAAGCTAGGCAGGAAATCCAAACATAACACACACACACACACACACACACACACACACAGAGAGAGAGAGAGAGAGAGAGAGAGAGAGAGAGAGAGAGGGAGGATAGGCAGAGTCAAGGAGACACCATGTAGCTGCTGAAGGAGAAAGACGCTAGAACCTTACTTACTAGTAGACCATAGCCTCACATGATACATTGATTAATAGAAATCAGTTAAGATGTAAGAGTTAGTTAATAAAAAGCTTGAACTAATATACTAAGCAGTATTATAATTAATATAGTTTCTGTGTGATTATTCAGGTCTGGGCGGCTTGAAACAAATAAGCAGTCTCTGTTTACATCTTTCAATAAATCTTAATGCAACAATCTCAATGGTTTATGGCTATATGAATCTTTACAGTAAATAATCAGAGATCCCAAATAAATAAGTTAATGATGGAATCTCAAAGTATTGTACAAGAAAAAAAACGTCAAAATTCAATAGATGTGAAGAAATAATAAAAAATCATGGAAAAAAATAATAAAGATGGGAGAAGAAATAAAATGGAAACAAAAAAACATTAGAAATAATCAATAGAACAGATATTTTATTTAAAAAAAGACAAGCACTGCCTGTTTGTCATTTGTATGTGGGAGGGCTACTGATTTTTTTTAGTTAATCTTATATCCAGCCATTTTGTTGAAGGTCTTTATCAGCTGTGTCAGCTGTATGAGTTCCCTTGTAGAATTTTTGGAATTGCTTATATATACTCTAATATCATTAGAAATATTGATTCTTTGACTTCTTCCATTCCAATTTGTATCCCCTTGAAATTCCCTGGAACCTATGAGGGTGACCCTAACAAAGACTTCTAGTAATGGGGGGTATGCAGCCTGAACCAGCCATTGCCTGTAGCCAGGCAAGGCTTCCAGTGGTGGGACTAGGACATCAACCCAGCCACAAAATGTCAACCTACAAATTGTCCTGCCTGCACAATGTACTGGTGTAATGGCCTCACAGAACTTGTAAGAATAGCCAACTAATGAACTATCTAATTTGTTGCACATGCCATGAGAGGGAGTCCATATCCACTGCCTGGATGACCAGAACATGGAAGCTGGATGGCTCAGAGACCTAGGATAGAACCAAACACAACTGATAAAAATGTTCCTAATGATATTCTGCAATACTCATATGATCAGTGTCTAGCCCAAGAGGCTTCCTCCAGCAGCTGATAGGAACAGATACAGAGACCCACAGCCAGACATTAGGTGGAGCTCAGAGAGTTCTGCAGTAGAGACGGAGGAAGGAGTCAGAGTGTGGAATATTCCTTTACACTGTGTAAATATATGTCGCTATGATTGGTTTAATAAAGAAGTTGACTGACCAATAGTTGGACAGGATAAGGTTGGACAGGAAAACCAGATTAAGGACACTGGGAAGAAGAAGGGCAGAGTTAGAGGAGTCGCCAGTCAGACATGGAGAGGAAACAGGATGTATGGTAGAGGCCGCTTATTTGTTTCCCGGACACCTAGACTCTTGAAATAATCACACAGAAATTATATTATTTGCAATACTGCTAGGCCAATAGCTTAAGCATATTTCTGGATAACTCTTACATCTTAGATTAACCCATTTCTATTCATTTGTGTATTGCCACGTGGCTGTGGATTACCAGCAAAGTTTTAGTGTGTCCTTCTCTGGCTGGCAGCTACATGGCATCTCACTGACTTGACCAGCCTGGACTAGAGATGCTCTAATAAAATATATTAAATTAAAATAGCAATATAATAAAATGACTACAATTTAGTCTTAGATTGCCAAGTACACACCATGATATATGGAATTTGAAAAAAATGAACGCACAACATCTGGACCCTCTTCATCTCTAACACATTGGTAAGAGGGCAAGCAGGGGAATGAGGATCTTAGTAAAGAAACTGAAAGTGATTTTGTAAGGAGCCTTTATGATTAGTTTATTATAAGATTCACCATTATAAGAAGAAATAGGTTATTCAGCATATTAAAAACAAAAACAATTCTCTAAGTTCATTCTAAAATAAATACTTACAGCAGTTTTATATGCAGCTTCAATGTAAAACACAAGGTTCTGTATAAAATTGACTTCATCTAGGCTGTGGATGATATGCAATCCTAAGGGAAAAAGATAAAGAGTTGGTCAATTATCACTTTAGGGCCTCAGAAGTGAAGGTGAATTAGTGAACTCAGCTTAAATCAACTTCACTTCAATTGACTTGTATTTACCTGTCCAGCATAACTGACTTATATTGTTCTTCCCCGTATGTTTATAAACATTTTTACTGAGATAGTCTATCGTACAGCTCATTGATACCAAGTATATAGTCTTTTATTGTGTGTACAGTATATATCCATCACTACAATCAATTTTGGGATATGTTCATCACCACAAAAAGTAATTCTTTACTCACTAGACATTCATATAAATGGAAGTGTATCATCTGCAGGCTTTATATCAGTGTTTGTTGACCACAGTATTTTGAAGGTCCCTTTGTGTTGTGAGATGCATCAGTACTTCCTTTATTGCAAAAAATATTTAATTGTGTGGATGTACCACCTTTTACTTGTGTAATTATTAGGTGATAGACACTGGGTTGTTTTTACATTTTAGCTATCATAAATACTGCTGCTATAAATATTCATGCACACACCTTTTATGTGAGAACCTGTTGCCATTTTTCTTGAAGATCTACCTACTTAGGAGAAAAACTGCTAGAATATATGGCAACTCTATATTTATATTTCTGAGGCATTACTAGACTAATCTCCAAAATTGCTGTACAATTTTTATTAAAATTTTTCAACTACACTTGTGTGTGTGCATGCCATAGTACACAGGGAGGTCAGAGGACAATTTGAGGGGAGTTACTTCTCAAATTCTACCATATGGGTCTAGGGATTGCATTCAGGTTGTCAGGCTTAGTACCAAGCACTTTTATCTGCTGAGACATCTCCTTTGCCCTCATTTTACACTTCTCGGAGCAGTGGATGAGGGTTCCAATTTCTCCATATCTTCAGCAACACCTTTTATCTGTCCTGATTACTGTTATTCTGGAGTGGTTGAAGTGGTTCTTATGGTTATTTAGGTCCACATTTCTCTACTGAATAATAATGCGTAGCATCTTTTCATGTACTTAGTGCTTATTTATACATATGCTTTGGAGAAAAATCAATTCAGATCCTCTAGTTACTTTTGAAATTTGTTTTTGAGCTTTTATTTATTTGTGTTGAGTGCCTTTGCCTGCGTGTATGCCTGTGTACTATATGTATGCTGTGTCCATGGGGTCCAGAGGAAGGTGTCAGATTGGCTGAAACTAAAGGTTAGACATGGTTGTTAGCTACCATATGGGTGCTAAGAATTGAACTCAGGTCCTCGGAAAGAGCAACAAGTGTTATTAAATACTGATTCATCTTTCTAGTCCACTCCAGCCATTTTAAAGGAGGCTATTGGTTTATTCTTTTTTCTTTCTCTTTTGTTTTGAGATAGAGTCTTCATATAGCCTCGAACATGAGACCCCCATGTTTTTACCTTCCAACTACTAGGTTTAGAAGCATGTACCACCCCACCACATCTGACTTTATTGTGTTGCATTCTTCTAAATAACGAGTTGTGAGAATTCTTTATACTAGATACAAATTATTTATATATGACTTGCAAATACTTTCTTCTATATCTATAGGTTGCTTTTACACACACGACAGAAATACATACATACGTACAAACATATATACATACATACATATGAGAGAAAGAGCACGCAGCATTTTTAATGGGGTCTCATGGGTTAGCATCGAATTTGCTAATAGTTGAGGATGACCCTCCACTCTGGATCCTCCTACATATACCTCCCAAGTGCTAGGATCACAAATGGACATCATACTGTACATAGATTATCTTTTACTTTCTTGAATGGATCCTTGGAAACATAAATGTTAATTTGGGTAAGTACCAATTAATATTTTTTCTTTAGCTGTTTATGCTTTTGGTATTATATTCAAGAGAGATTTCCCTCCTATTTTATTTTTTCTTCCTTCCTTCTCTTCTCTTTTTCTTTTTTTTTGAGAAAAGATCCTCATATATCCTAATATCATATTGAACTCACTGTACAGTTGAGCCTAGCCTTGAACTCCCAATCCTCGTCTCCATCTCGCAAGTGTGGGGATTACAGGTGTGCTCTACCACCTACCGCCCCCTCTCTTTTCCAATTACTATTCAGCCTTGTCTCTCTTTCCCTCTTCCCCTTTCTTTCTTAGACAGGGCCTTGCTATGTATTCCAGGTAGCCTCTATTTCATAATCCTTCTGCCTCTGCCTCCTATTTTCTTGCTGCCTTATGTCTAAATTTTTAGGTTAAAAACTGGGTATTGTTATAGAGTGTGTTGTTAGAACCCTAGATCCTGATACCCTCCTCTCTGGGGATTGTTTTTGTTTATTTAGGGATTTGTCTAAACTATTTCAGTAAAATCTATTCCCCCATGGCATGTAGCATCTGGCAGTCCTCAGAAGATATAGCCTTGGCAGCATGCATTGTCACACTTAGAAGACAATGTTGCTCCTGGGAAGAGGAGTTCCTTAACTATCTTTTTCCAAGATCTGGTAGATGTCTTCCTCTGTTGGTATAAAGCTAATCCCCCACTGACTTCAACTGACCACTCTATTGTTTTGTAGAATCCCCAAACATAAACTGCTCCATTGTTTTAAACAATTAAACTTAGGCCCTTTCTGGTACAATCTTTAAGTCAAGTCTATGATACTTGTTCTAACACCTAGAAGCACTCCTTAGCATTCTTTGGATTTGTTAAAGTTCTAGCTAATATGTCTTTTAGTTTCTTGCTGTTACTGAACAATTAACTTCATCTTAATTATTTAGACATGTTTTTCAAAAGACTTACTTTGATGTGTGTGGGTTTTGCCAGCATTGGTGCACAATATGTATGTAGTGCCTGTGGAGGCCAGAAGAAGGCATCGAATCTCCTCGAATTGGAGTTACAGATGGGTGTGAGCCATCACGTAGGTGCTAAGAATTGAGTCAGGTCCTCCGGAAGAACAGTTAATACTCTTAACTTCTGAGTTGTCTGTCTAGCCCTTCATCTTAATTACTAAGAATCAAAATCTGCATTGAACTTTCCTAAACTTTCTTGAAAAAGTTAATTTTCTTAAGAAGAGCTAAAGAAAGGGCTTTGCTTTTACAGTTTGTTTCTACCCTCCACAAGAATTTCTGTGCCAGTGCTCCAGCACTGATGGTAAGCACAACGGTTCATTTTCTTTGCAATGGCACTTCTGTTTTCCACACTAAGCTCTGGACAGGAGTTGTAGCTTCTGATCATCCCAGCTTGCATATTCCAGTGTAGGATGGTTGACCCGATCAAGAGCTATGTGACCTAGTAATCTTACTCTGCTCTTCTAAGGTAGATCCTACTTCACTAGTATCTGGGGGTATAGAGGACCCCAAAGCTGTACTTGCCTGAACTAGGGCTTCTGCAATACAGAGCTTGAGAGAATGATAAATGATGCCAGCCTATTTTCTGAAGGAGAATCAGGTACCTTAAACTAGAGCAATGGTTCTCAACCTGTAAGATGCGACCCCTTTGGCAAAACTCTAGCTCCAAAAATATTTACATTACAATTCATAATAGTAGCAGAATTACAGTTATGAAGTAGCAATAAAAACAATTTTATGGTTGGGGGTCACCACAACCTGAGGAACTAACTGCATTAAAGGGTCACAGCATTAGGCAAGTTGAAAACTACTGTACTATAGCTTAGGAGAGAGGAGACCTTGTGTTTTGGCTATAGCCACCTCAGTTAGTTCTTCTGTTTTCCTGGGTTGGGAAACAGGGATTGAGAACAGATACCACAGTACCTCACTGCTCTAAATAATTACATTTCCTGGAGTGTTTCTCGACTTACTGTACATCCTTTTGGGAAATTTCCTGGTGCAGGAGAATTGTCTGTAATCTGTCAATCATATTTTAAATAAATGCTGACTGGCCAGGCAGGAAGTATAGTCAGGAAAACCAGACAGGAAGTAGAGGTGATGCAATGAGAACAGGAGAATTCTGGGAAGCAGGAAGCTTCTTCTGCCATTCCTGCCCAGATCACTGAAGAAGCAACATGTGAGCTGACAGCTGAAAAAGGTACCAAGCCATATGGCTAACACAGACAAGAATTATGGGTTACTGTAAGAATAAGTTAATAAGAAGCCTGAGCTAATGGACCAATCAGTTTATAATCTTATGGAGTCCTGTGTGTGATTTCCTTTGGGACTTGCCGGTTGTGGGGTACTGGGCAGGACAGAAACCCCAACAAGCAGGCTCCCTCATGTTACATATGGTGCCCATGTGGACAACTGCATCCACATAAAGCCTGAGAGAGCTTGGGAAGTAATTCTGGACAGAAAAGAATATAGTAAAGCATGGCTTCTTGGTAGCAGCAATTTCTCGGGTCTGCTCTGCTTGCTAGAGGCAAGCAAATGCTCTCATCTGAGAGGCTTCCTGACTCAGCTTTAGCTGCAAAACCCTGCAGCTCTTTTAAGAGATCCTGCCACGAAACACTTAAATGGTATTGATGAAAAGCTGACCGCATGCTTCTCGGTTTTCAGCTGTAGCAGGAAAAAAAGCTGTGCTGTTTTAAAATGCCAGCTTTCTGGGCTGTCCTGCCAGGGCAAACTCTGACTCTGTCAGGCAGGCAGTCCGACTGAGTGTGGTCTGTGAGCAGAATGCTGCAGCTTGCTTGCTGGCAAGGACCTTGAAACACTGTAGAGTTGTGGTGATAAAAATGGCTCTGGCGGTACCTCTGCCATGAGGCTGGAAAGCTAAGAAATGGGCTGAATCTAGCCGTCAAAGTCATAGCTTTCATCCTCTTCTTAACGACTCATGTGGTCAGAAAAAGAGAGATATACAGTAAAGAGAGATTCAAAGACAAAGAAAACCTCTAAATGGTTTACAGTGTGTTAAAAATATATACAGGCTAAAGTTTAAAGTCATTAAAAATAAAAAAGAAAGAGAGAGAGAGAAGCAGGGTGTGGTGGTACACACCTTTAATCCCAATGCCTGGGAGGCAGAGGTAGATTGACCTCTGTGACTTCAAGGGGCAGAGGTAGATTGACCTCTGTGA